TAAATAATAGAGTAAAAAATTTAACCCAGGAAAATCTAAAGTCAATTACAAAGCAGTTTCCACAAGTAAGCCCCCTCAATTCATCTTTGACTATCAGTATCTTGCCAATTACCAATAACTTGATGTCAGTGTTATTTTCACTGTTATGTCTTAGTTATCAGACTCCTTAAGAATGATATTTGCTGAGGAAACTATTTTCAAGTTGTTACCAACCCTCTCCCCATCTCTAGTCTTCTAAACAAATAATGAAGTCACTTAAAAGCTCTCCAAGCACATCTTGGCTTCCTAATAGACAAGGAAAAGGCTCTCTCAATTTTTAGAAAATAAGAAAATTTCACCCAGCAATACTATGATAATATTAAGGTTTAAAGAGTGCGATCTATATTAGTTAACAATATTAATTATTTATAGCACAACTACTTATAGCAGGAGATTTAGTCTATAACAATCACAATCATTCGAAATAAGTGTTATTACTCAAATAGTATAGATGAGGAAACTCAGAGTTTAATAATATAAGCAAGACATTACCACTATTAATTAGTAAAGTAAAGCATCAAGTCAAAATTCATGTGGTACATCACACTTGCTTCCACTACCTCTTTCTTCAACGCACAATATAATTAGTTCTTTATCAGAATCTATTGTCAAGAGAAATATGTTATTTAATTTCCCTTACTTTAAAATATAGAATATATATAAATTTATTGGGTACTTTCTCATAAAATGTAAATCAATTTTTTGTTTGCTTGTTTTCTTACATTAATCAATTTTTTAGAATGCATTTTGAATCCTTAAAAACTACAGTTTTAAATTTTTTTGGCTATGGCAAGAGTGGTTTACATACACAATTTTTATTTAAAAGTATTCATGATTCAATTGGTAGTTTTTAAAAGTATTAGAATAGGAAAGGTCATTCTAAGAAAATCACAAACCTAAACTCCATAAACCAAAAATACAATAAATTCAAATATATTTTTTAATCCTGCCAGTAAAATAGGCATAAACAAGGTCCTAAAACAAATAACATGTAAAAGAGCCTCTACAAATCACTAAAAATCACTAACAGAAAGGGGAATACAAATGGCTCTAACCAAAATTTTTTTTTTAAAAAAAAAGGCTCTCAAACTCTGACAAGAAAATAAGCCTACAGTGACACCTTTTTCACTGAAATATTGGTAAAGATTACCACACACTGAGTTGGCAAAGTTGTGAGAAAGTCCCCTTAGTACATGTCACTTATACGTACATCCTCTACAAAAGTAAATTTTGCGATATTTATTAACTTTAAAATATACTAACCCTTTGACCCAACAACTTTGTTTCTAGGAATCTGTCTCAAATATACATTCATACAAGTAGGAAATGTATGTACAAAGATATTTTTCACAGATAATACTGTGATAAATACTAAAAATTTCTAATAACAAAATACTTAAAAAAAAGCTTAAATACCCACAAATATGGTACTAAAGAAACTACAGAATATTCATTAAAAGGGATAGTATGTATCTTACATCCATTAAAATTAATGAGGCAGCTATACAGTCACAGATGTGGAACTGACCTCCCAAAAAGCAAACTGTGGGACACATTTGTGTTTTTATGTTTACATCCATCTGTACATACATGTATGTGCACACACATACACACATATACAGACACACACACACAATATTATATATACACATGTATTTATTCTTATGCATAGACTGTCACTGGAAGAGTATACAATATAAAATATACTGGTATAGTAGTTGGCTCTGGGTGGGGGAGAAAGGTAGCTAAGAAATTTAGGGGGTGGCTCACACCTGTAATCCAAACACTTTGAGAGGCCAAGGCAAGAGGATCATTTGAACCCAAGAGTTCAAGACCAGGCTGGGTATAGGGAGACCTTATCTCTACAAAAATAAAAAATAAATTAGTCGAGTGTCATGACACCTGCCTGTGGTGCCAGTTACTCCAGAGGCTGGGGTGAGAGAACCGCTTGAGCCCCAGGAGGTTGTGGCTGCAGTGAGCTGTTATTGCGCCACTCCACTCCAGCCTGAGCCTCAGAGCAACAAAAATCCAGTCTCAAAAAAAAAAAAAGGAAAAAAGAAACAAAGGAAAAAAGAAATTTTATTTCAAAATTTTATAAATTAACTTTGGAAAGTACTTTTAAAATTGAAATATTTTTTAAAATGTAGAACTGCTCACTTATGTGTTAAATATATACTAATCATTACCCTAATCTAGCAGGAAAATTTTTACTTATTGCCTTCCTTTATTTCGGGAGAAAATTAACTATTTAACAGAAAATCTAAACTGCCAGTGAAAAGATAATATACACATTAAGAAACACATAATTTCTAATTTGTGTAATCTGAAAGACTATGATATGCACATATTAGAAACAATATTTATTGAATGAATACTTTTCTATTGATTTAATGGGTTTGCTTTCCTCATACATTTTTTCACAATTACACAAAAAATCCCACTGGAAATTCAACTTTTAATAAGTTACATATTTATTTCAAACAATGGTTCTTCATTGTCCCACAAAATTGATAAGCTACCTCCTTAACATTACCACAAATCAAATAAACATAATTTATTAAGTGTCTATTATGTGAAGGTGTTAAGGATGTTGCAAAACACAAACTAAAAAAAAGGGTAAATTTTGATTCTTGCCCTCAAGAAGTTTACAATCTTGAAAGACAAAACTTAAGAACATTATTCAGGTGTCTTGGAAGATTGAAAAAAAAATTAATCAGTAAAAAGACATTATAAATTTTACTGATGGATTGAATTAGACAAATTAAAACTGCTACAGGAATACATGACAGGATTTTTTTAAAGTAATTACTGATCAGGGATCTACTAAGATTTTTAAATGCTTGCAAAATTATAGTACCTCGCTCACATGTAAAATGGTATTATTTGATGATGATACATTTCCTATATGAATGTTCAGCTGGACTTTGATTAAATTACTAATAATTAGGTATAATTTTTAATTATTCAAGCTCCTAAGGTGAGAGATTACAGTAATAGTCTCAGTTTTAAATACTCAGTTGTCTTATTAAAAATATCTCAAGCATGAAGCTTTTAATACATGCAAATTTACTTATGTGCATCTAAGTATTGTCCATCTATATATTACATATTAACAAGGTTCAAATTCATTCTTTTCTCCACTTTGCCTGAATACTTAACACAAACATTGAAACTCATAGATCATGCAAAAATATTTTTATCTAACCATTGCAGTATCTTCACACATCAAATATATTTTTTAACATAATTGTTAAAAGGCAGCAGACACACATTTAAATTTCAGGGTTTTTTTCTCTCTACTCTTAGAATACATGTTAACACCCAATGTAATGAGCAGCACTAAAAAGAAACAAAGGATAGTAATGACCAAGTAAGTGGACCCTAAAACTTTGTGGGAAATAGTAATCATTGAAGAAGGTTAGTATTATTCTTCTTATATATTTGTTATTTAATACCCAATATTGATAATATGTTATTTAACAAACTGTCAAATTCTTCAAAATGATTTGTCTCTCATTACAATAATTCTATTATAAAGTCTATTCATTTCCTCATTTGCCTTGCCTACTCTTTCATTAAAAAAAATTAAGAGCATTTAAAACTAAATGTCCAAATATATTATGCTTTAACCTCCAAATAACGTTCTGTTAAAATAAATATAACAAGAATTCTGAAACCATGAAAGCCATTTTGAGATAAGACACCTTTCTAAGACTAAGTTAGGTAGCAACGCAAATAAATATTTAAAATAAATCTAAATATATATTTTTCATCAATGTAATTTTATAGATTGTATGAAAAATGTACTTAGAGAACATTTGTTTCTATCTAAACTATGGAAATATGAATATGTAAATATTATATGTATTTGAATAGTATGTAGGTTTACATACAGATATAATATATACATGTAGCTACCTGAAAAACCCTATTACATCTTCTTCTTAATATAATGTTCATTTTGAATAATCCTAATTCAATACTTAAAAGTCCATTTATATTTCTATATTAAACAATAAATAGAACTACAGTGAACTAGCCAATAAACACTAAGGTTTAGCATACTATGAAGAAATAAAAACATTTTATATTTAAATATGTAAGTCAAAGAAATAAAACTACATTTTATTGGAGCATCATTTTGGAGACATTTATTTTTTGCAGTTATACTAAAAGGCATAAGTTCATATATTTAAATATCAAACTGCAAGTCATCAAAAGCTTGGAATTGTTAGTATACAAAATAAAGTTAAGAAAGTAAGAAGCATGCCCAAAAACGCTTCTAAAAATAATGCTTTATTCTTCTATTAGTTGGAGTAAGCTACTTAAGTCTCTTAATTTCTTCACATCCCAAGGCTGTTAATAAATAACATTCCCAAATAATTAGCTTTCATGTAGAAACTATTAATTTCAGTTATTATGTCAGGAACATATTTGCTGTTTTAGTCCCTCAATATTTTGTGAGCAATAGTATATTTAGATTTGTGAATATTTGATGTTTGTTACCATAAATTATTTAAAGTAGTATTTTTCATTAAAATATGAAAATATATACCTATTGACAACGAAACTTGTTCCTTTGTAAGTACATGAAAGAATACTAAATTCAACAACATGTTTTTAAAATTTAGCTAAGTAGAGGTGAGTGTATTAGTTCCTTCATAGAGGAACTTCACACTTTCACTTGTATATTTCTGTGGAGAATATGAGAAACATATACTTGACAAAACGCAAAAGAACATCCCACCTTTGGTATATACACTGTGTAAATTAATCTCTCAGTGAGTAACTCATTTCAAGTAAAAAGAAAAAATCCAAGCTGGGAAAACATTAAAAAGGTTACACGTCTTCTAAACAACCTCTTTCACGAAGTAACTGAGAAATCAAATAACCACAAAACATTTAAAAGCAACTCTTGTAGAAACAAATCTCTTCGCTAGACTAACCAGAAAAGGAGTTTCAGAGCTAAAGATAACCCTATCTGGACAGTTCCCTAGTGCTGAAGTTCCAGAGCCAGTAAACGGATGCCTGGGTACTGTTTTCACTCCTCCCACCCTCGGAAAAAACCGGGCTGCCAAGACTGTGAGCACAAATAGTAGAACTTCACAAGGTAGGGAACATCCCAAACTGCAGCGATGGTAGGAACTGGAGTCTCTTCAGGATTAAACAGATTTACTAGTTGCAAACAGGAAGAGCAGCAGAGTGCAGGGTGTTAGCACTCGCCAAGGGGGAGGGGCTGGAAGATGGCGGCGACCGCACACCCACCCGAGACGCTACAGAGCTTAGGCGCCTCGCCCACGCCGCCGCCCGCTGCCCGCAACCACCGTGGGCAGCCCTGCTGTGTCCCGCGTTGCTAGCAGAGCGGCTCCGCGGAGACGGAACCACGGGTCCCCGGCGGCGTCCGCATCCCCGGCCGGAGCGCCTTCGCCCGGGTCCGGCCAGGGAGCACCTGTGCACGGCCATATTGGATTCCGTGCCCCAGTCACTGCCTCAGCGCTCAGGCGGCGGGAAAGGAGAGGGGACGCGCAGAGCCTGGGTTCAGCCCCAGTCCCGCTGGGGCCCCAGAGCCAAGCTGACCAGCGGGGAAACCCGGAAAGGCGCCGGGGAAAATCACACCGCTCTAAGACTCGCCACCCTCACCTCAGCCGGCCTCGGCGCCCTCCCTCCCCGACACACACCCCCCGCTCTTAGACACCCAGCAAACAGCCCGGGCGGCCGGCGTTGGCCGCAGCCCTCGTGGCCTGGGAGCCGCCGGCGGGAGGGAGGGCAGCGATCCCGGGCGCGCAGGCGGCCGCAGGGCAGCGGCCGAGGGGGGCGGAGGGCAGGGAGAGAGGCGGGAATATGGAGCCAGATCCTTACTTGAGTACGGACTGCTCCTTCTCCTCTTCTTTCTTCTGTCTATCCATGACGGCCAGGATGATTTTCCTCTCCTCCTCCGTGAGGTGGCTGAGGTCAGGCATCTCGGGTTGCAGAGGCGGCTGAGAGGCCGCTGGGGTGGGAGCCAGGCGGCCCCGGGGCCCGACAGGAGCCGACATGTTTGGTGGAGCCGAACCACCCTAGGGAAGCGGTGAGGCAACTCCGGTGGCAGTGGCGGCACCGGCGCGGCGGCTGGGGCAGCCTCCAGCGCTGGGACAAATACATACAAATCAATGGCCTTCAATCCAAGGCGACAGCCCCCCTCCCCCAAGAAAGAGCAGGGGGAGGGGAGGGCGAGCGCGTGGGGAGGGAGGGCTGAGGAGTGCGCTTCGGAAAATGTTTCTTCTTCCCGGGGGCGGAAGGACTGTGAAGTGAGCGGTTCAAAGGAGAGGGGAGCGGGCGGCCGGGACGCGGAGTGAGCGGAGCGGTGGGGGAGGGTTGTGGAGTAAGGTGGCGGGGACAGCTAAGGGTGGGGTGACTGGAGGGAGCAGGCGGGAGGGCGACAGGCGGACCAGGGCGCGAGTGTGTCCGGCCGCGGCGGGGGTCGGGAGCGCGCGAGCCGCCTCGGAGGGGAAGGGTGCCTGCGAACCAGCCCCCCGGGAAGTCGCTTCGAGCCTCCAGAGTACCGCCGGCCCGAGAGGCACCCAGGCGGGAACGGAGAGGGTCGTGAGGAAAAGCGGACGGCTTCCCAGAGAAGCAGCTCAGCCGTCCCGCCGGCTGACGCGTCACAGGGCTCCCGCGCGCCACGGAGGGAGGATTCCTCCCGGCACGCCTGGAAGAGGGCCGTGGGGCCGGAGACCGCCCCGGAGACCCCAACCCCACCCCGCCAGCTAAAGTAGAGAAGCAAAAGCGGAGAAGGAATGACAGGGGCTAGCAGCCGAGAGTCCCGGGGCCAGGGCCCATCGGGTGCTAACGCCCGGGTCCAGGCGAGCTCCGGCGTGCAGCGGGGTCGGGCGCCGGCCCCTCCTCATCACGCGCCTGCCTAGGGTCGCTCAGCCGCCGCCGCCGCCGCCCCTTGGGTCCATGGAGTCGGCGCGGAGGGCCCGTGCTCCCTGCGCCGCCGCCGCTCGGTGCCGCCGCGCGCACCTCCTCCCGCCCCTCCGCCTCCCGGGCTCTTCCCGCGGGGCCGCGTCACCTCCTCACTGCCTAGGCCGGGGCACCCAGCAGGCGGCAGCCGCCCCTCCCCTAGCGCGACCTCAGGGCTGGGACCCGGGCCAGGCGGGGAGGGAGGGGAGACTGAGCGTGAAGGGAGGGGGCGCCGGAGTTTTCGGGGACGGAAGTGTGGAGAATGCGTGCGTGTGAGGGGGCGCCTGAGGTGTCGGGAGCGGAGAGAAGGGTGTGAGCCGGGGTGGGGTCAGGGGTGCCAGGTGTGGCTGGTGGGGAGGAGGTGAGGGCCCCCAAGGGACCGGGAGGGGCGGGGAGCGTGAGGGTGGAGTCAGGGCTGGAGCTGAAGGCGGGTGCCGGGGAGGGGTCGCCCAGGTGTCAGGCCCTGAGGAGAAAAATGGAGCGCCCGTGGTGGGAGGGCCCCCGAAGTGTCAGGGCGGGATCCTGGAAGGAGGGAGGACTTACGTAGGGAAGAAGGGTCCCTAGGGTGTCAGGGGTGGGAGCCAGGAAAGGGGGAGAGAGCTGGAGGCCCGCAAGGAGGGACAGCGGTGGAGAGAGGTTGCAGCGAGTGGGAAACGCAGGTGGTGTCAAGGGCGGGGACAGGGCGAGGGGCGCAGGGCTTGAGGAAGTTGTGGAAAACCGAGCTTGACGCTGAGAATATGCAGAGGGATCCTGAGGGGAGGACGCGGGGGGAAACGGGGAGAGTTACGGTTGGCTGGCAGGGTTCGAACCTGACACGACCAGTAAAGGCTAGGAGGGTGAAAGGAGTTAGAATAGTCCCGAGAGAGAGGCTGGGCCGTACTGAGGCCAAGGTTTCTGTCTGTCTGGCCCTTTTTGGCGCTCACCCTAGTCTAGAAAGAAGAGGCAGAGACGCGAAGAGATCGGGTTAGAGTCAGAGTTTGATTTTCGTAGCATGGAGATAGGTTCAATGAAAGAGGACAAAAAGGGAAGACAAGAAACCAGCGTCTGGAGAACGGAGGTGGCCACTACCATCCTTTGCGCTTCGCGGGGCTGGGCGCCGCCCTGAGAGCCCTCCCGGAGGGAGCGGGGCCGGGCGGGTGGCGCGGGGCTGGGTGGACAGAGCTAGGCAGGCTCGCTGGCTCTTCCGGGCGCCGTGGGCAAGCACTGCAGGTGACTGAGTTGGGATGTGTGTGCCAGTGTGTGTGTACCCAGGTGAATGTGTGTGCGCACCCCACCCAGCCTTCCACACGCGCGCTGCTTAGTACCAGGTCAGATTGTGTGCTGATGAGTAACGTAAAGCCTTTGAGGTTTATATTATATTTACCTTCTTGGTGTGTAGTAAGCGCTCTCCCTCCTCCCTCTGTTCCCCAGGTACCATCTGACTAGCTCCCCATTTAAGAGAGCTGGGGATAGGCAAAGCAGCCCTGGAAGTCTCCTGTGATTTCTAAGCTTAAATGTCTGTTTTTATTTTCTCCCATGCCTTGTAATTGGGAAGAGGGAAAAGTTTACTTAAGAGCTGTTTTTTAAATTATTACTCACTTGTTTCAAACAACACTCTCATACTCCAGATAATTCCATTTTCATCTCTTTGGAGCTGAGCAAATCAGATCAAATTATATGAATCCCAGTTTATTTAATTTTGTTTTAGAGTTCAACAATTTTTATGAATTTCTAATCCAACCTCATCATCCTATGGGAAACAGCCACCAAGAATAGCCAGCTGGTAAGTAGCAGGGCTGGAACTAGAACCTAGATATTTTTAATCCACGTTGAAACCATGCCGGTTTTCAACCCTAGCTGCACACTAAAATTATTACCTGGATCACTTTTTTTTTTTTTTTTTTTTGGCCAGTCATCTGAGTTGAAGGTTCACTGGGTCACTTTTTTAAAATACCACCTAGACCCACATAACAAATGAATCAGACTCTGGTGTTAGGGCCCTGGCTGTGGATATTGTTTGAAAGTTCCCCAAGTGACTAAGGTATAGCAAATGTTGAGAACTATACTATTTGCATTGCAAAATAGATAATGGAGAAGGAAAAAAAAAAAGTGTCAAACTAAGAAAAAAAAAGTGACAACTAAAAACAACACTTAATGGATAACAGAATTTTTCCACCTGAAATTGAAATTGACTTTTACTATCCATATTTTCATACGCAGTAACAGGTACCAGTAAATACATGTATCTTTGACTTTCACCTAGGAAACCCTAAGTGCTGCTAAAATACACTAACTGCTCCTTTAAAAGAGAGGAGAGTGGAACTAAAAATAATCAAAAGGAATGGCTGGAACAGTCTACCTTATTCAACTATTTCTGTGCCAGATTTGAAAAAACAAACACCACTTCCCACCCCCAGGCAACTATCAACCCAAGCAGAACCAGAAGCCAGAATATACACACTTCTCAGAGGTTTAAACTTTTTGAAGTTAAAATAGCTTAGTTATTTTAAGTCTATAAAATGTGAACTTCAAAGCTGTGGTACAAATTAGACAATTTGGCTTCCTTTACAGTAGAGGGTCACCCACTGGGCCCTGCACTGTTTTCTAGCAGTCATATGGTTAGCGTGCTGAGTGCCTGAGGCTGTGTCTCCTTGCACCCCCACCCATGCCTCACCTGCCAGGAGACAGTACCAGCTCATGAAATACAATGGGCATGAGCCAGTATCACTGGAACATCTGACTTCTTACTGGAATGAAGCAGAAGTGAGTGAGGCTACTGTTAATGTGTTTCCTTTTTACAGTTTTTACCACAACTAGATGTGTTTTTCCTATTAAAGGGACTACTTAGGAGTGGAAGGAAGTCTTTTAAAATTATCCTTCACTGTTATTCACACACTTGCATGAAATAAAAATTTGTCAACAGTAGTTATATATCACTACATAGAATATACATTATATAGAATTTTAAAATTTGCTTTAGCATAATAAATGAACTACTTTTCAAAGTACTTGCCCCAGTTTGACATAAGATTGCTAGGATCAGAGCTAAAGAAAGTAAAATGTATTTACAAGATCTCTGTCTTTTGTTCTTTCTACAATATGGATCTTAGAGGTGTTTTGTTTGTTCTGGTACAGTGTTTTACTTAAAATCTTCATCACATATGACTTTGTCCTTTACAGCATTAACTTCTACTTTGGCATGTCCCTCAGTGTATGAACACATTTAAAGTTGAGTCAAAACTGCAATATTCTTGTGTAACTTTATAAGTAACAGCTGTCTTCATCATTGAATTTTCAAGATCTTGACAGGCTATAAACTAATCCCAAAATGCATGTCCTGGCCAGGCCCTGTGGTTTACACCAGTAATCCCGGTACTCTGGAAGGCCAAGGCAAAAGGATCTCTTGAGCCTAGGAGTTCAAGGATACAGTGAGCTAAGATTGCTCCACTGCACTTCAGCCTGAGTGACAGGGTGAGACCCTGTCTTAAAAAACAGGCTGGCCAGCACAGTGGCTCACATCTGCAATCCCAGCACTTTGGGAGTCCAAGGCAGGTGAATCACCTGAGGTCAGCAGTTTGAGACTAGCCTGACCAACATGGTGAAATCCCATCTCTACTAAAATACAAAAATTAGCCGGGAAGGATGGCAGGCGTCTGTAATCTCAGCTACCTGGGAGGCTGAGGCAGGAGAATCGCTTGAATCTGGGAGGCAGAGGTTGCAGTAAGCCAAAATCGTGCCATTGCACTCCAGACTGAGTGACAGTGTGAGACTCCCTCTCAAAAAAATAAACAAATATAAATAAAAAACAAACAGGCTGGGCGTGGTGGCTCACACCTGGAATCCCAGTACTTTGGGAAGCCGAGAGGGTGGATCACATGAGGACAGGAGTTTGAGACCAGCCTAACTGATATGGTAAAACTACGTCTCTACTAAAAATACAAAAATTAGCCAGGCCTGGTGACAGATGCCTGTAATCCCAGCCACTTGGGAGGTTGAGGCAGAAGAATCACTTGAGCCTGGGAGGCAGAGGTTGCAGTGTGTGGATATCAGGCCACTGCACTCCAGCCTAGGTGACAGAGCAAGACTCTGTCTCAAAAAATAAAATAAAAAGCAAACAAACTGCAAGTCCTTTCTGCAGTTCCTACAGGCCCTTGAAGCCTATGATTCTGTAGACTTTCATTTTTACACATGCATAAGGGCTACTTGTAATCTAGTAAATAAGTATTAGGAGGTATATCTAAAGTCACAAACTAAAATGCTTACCTCACTAGAATTTACTGAAAGAACCTAGTACTCCACTACAAAAGCTGGGTGTTTCACAATGCTCAGAATCATTGCAACACCCGTTAATGCATACAAATATATTTAGATGGTTGGCATTTCTATAGTTTCTCATAACAGGTCTCCCTGCTTCTATGCTTGCAGCTCTATAGTCTCAACACTGCACAAAGAGGAAACCTCCTAAAACATTAGACCAAAACACTCTGCTGATCAAAATCCCAAGGTGGCTCCCATTTTATTCACAAGAGTTCCTTAAATGGCTTACAAGTCCCACATGATCACTGACTTCATCTCCTAGTACTCTGTGTGTGTGTGTGTGTGTGTGTGTGTGTGTGTGTGTGTGTGTGTGTGTTTTCTCAAGACGGAGTTTTGTTCTGTCACCCAGGCTGGAGTGCAGTGGTGCAATCTCGGCTCACTGAAACCTCCGCCTCTCAGGTTCAAACAATTCTCTGCCTCAGCCTCCCGAGTAGCTGGGATACAGACGCCTGCCACCACGCCCAGCTAATTTTTGAATTTTTAGTAGAGATGGGGTTTCACTATGTTGCCCAGGCTGGTTTTGAACTCCTGACTTTGTGATCCACCTGCCTTGGCCTCCCAAAGTGCTGGGATCACAGGTGAGAGCCACTGCACCTGGCCCCATCTCCTAGTACTTTTTAGGCTTTCCTCAAGCTGTTCCCTGTGCCTAGAATACCCTTCACTAAGATACTCACTTGGCTAAATCCATTGTCCTCAAATTTTTGCTCAATTGTTCATCCTATTTAATACTCCTACTTGCCCCACACCCTTCCTGGTCATTATGATGATCTTCTTTACCTTACCCTACTTTTTCTTTTTCCCACAGCACTTACCACTCTCTCTGACAACTGTATTTTTACCCAAAGTTAAATATATACCCATTTATTATATTTATCATCTACTTCCTCATACTTGAATATAAGCACAAGGGCAGAGTATGAATTTTATTAATGTATCCCAAACAACAATACATGACACATAGTATGTATTCCAGCAAATATTTGTTCAATGAATTTCTGGGAAGAGGATTTGACATTATTATATTGGTCTGAGTTGGGAAACAAAAGGGAAAAAGCATTCTCAAAAGAGGGAAAAGCAGTGTGAATAAGATCTAAAGTCTTTGCCAAGGTGTACATATTCCTTTAGGATTCAGTTCCTGTCTACCTCTCTAGGCTTGCTTCCAACACAGCCTACAAACACATCTTCCTTTTCAGCCATGATAATCTACTTGCACTTTACTCAATGTGTGAATTTTCTCATCTCTGTGACTTTCTATTCCCTCAGCTTAGATCACTTTTTCTGCTTCCTCTCTCATAACTTTCTTAATTAACTTCTTTATCCTCACCATATACTTATCCCTCCCTCTCCTCTTCTTCCACCTCTTTTCCCTAGACTGTTATACCAATGTACCTACTGTGCTCATAGATAGCACTTGTCACAGTGTGTTGTGCCCATTTATTTCCTTGTCTGTCTCCTTGACCAAACCATGAATTCTTTAAGATCAAGGAATGTGCCTTTAACTTCAGTTTCCCCAGGGTTTATCAGAGTGTCTCATACATTATAGAGACTCAATAAATATAAACTGAAAAAATATATGAGCAGTCGCATGATAATGAGAAAATTACAGTTGTTAGCACATGAAGAAAAGGGGGCAAGGAGTTGTAGCAAAAGATAAAGTTGGAGAAATTGGTCGTAGTAAGATTATGCTACAATCTTATATGCTGTACTGAAGAATTTGAATTTATATTATTAGACAGTGGAGGTTTTTAATGAGAACTGACATGATCAGCTTTGATTTTCAGGAGGATATCCTGCCTTCAGTTGTTCATCCATGTCTAAAATGCCCACTAGTAGAATTGTTCAGTGGACTCAGATACATAGTAGTTTGGGCCTGGAGACACAAACAACAGAATTTTTTGCTTCCTGCTTTCAGAATTTATTTTTGTAGCTATTTTGCTCAGTAGATTAAAACAGCATGATAATGAGGCCAAGGTCATGGTTGAAATCCCTGAGTGAGTCAGTCAGTGCAGTGGCCACAGCTGACTATTAATCTTTGCCAGTTGTCAGGTGACAACATTTTATATTTCTTGATCAGGAATTGGGTGAGAGAATATGACTGGTTCATCCAAAGTTAATCACCATTATTGCAGAAGCAACTCAAATTATATGGCTATTGGTTTCAGGACTATAATTTCATTTTAATGAAAATAATATTATATTAGTGATGACGAAAGAACACAACCTCAGAGAGAAACATACATTGTTTTTTCCTGGAAAAGAAGCTAGAGACTAGTAAAGTTTAATTATTGGGATTCAAGGCCAAAAAGAAATGAAAAACCTAATGGATGTTAGTGTAGGTAAGCATTGTTAATTACTTTTTGTGTATTTAGCAATGTAGAAGGTTATTTATCATTATGTGATAAAACCCATAGAACTACTTCTATTAAAAGTGCTTGGGAACATAATAATCATATTTTTTTCTTTGAGATGGAGTCCCGCTATGTCGCCCACCTCAGATTTCCAAGTAGCTGGGATTACAGGTGTCCACCACCATGCCCGGCTAATTTCTGTATTTTTAGTACAGACAGGGTTTCACCATTTTGACCAGGCTGGTCTCAAACTCCTGACCTCAAGCGATTCACCCACCTCGGCATCAAAAAGTGCTGGAATTACAGGCATGAGCCACCACACCCAGCCTTCATCTTTCATTTATAGCATTATAAAGTTATTTCTATTTTTGCTTCCCTCCTAGCAATCAGTAAGCACATCTGTAAAGTGAAATAGGACTATATTAAAGGTAGAGACGTAGCATAACTGACGTTACTATTTTCTTAATTATATCTTCATCCTATTTTTTAATTTAAGTTCTGAGGTAGAAATGCAGGTTTGTTACATAGGTAAACTTGTGTGATGCGGGTTTGTTTTACAGATTGTTTCGTCACCCAGGTATTCAGTCTAGTAACCATTAGTTATTTTTCCTGATCTTCTCCCTCCTGCCACTCTACTGTTCAATAGGCTCCAGTGTATGTTGTTCCCCTGTATGTGTCCATGTGTTCTTATCATTTAGTTCCCTTATAAGTGAGAACATGCGGTATTTGGTTTTCTGTTCCAGTGTTAGTTCCCTAAGAATAATGGCCCCCAGCTCCATCTATGTTCCTGCAAAAGACATAATCTCTTTCTTTTTCGTGGCTACATAGTATTTCATGATGTATATGTACTACTTTTTTTTTTAATCCAGTCTACTATTGGTGAGCATTTGGGTTGATTCCATGTCATTATGACAGAGCAATTTCTATTCCTTTCAGTATATACCCAGTAATGGGATTGCTGGATCAAACGGTATTTCTGTTTTTAGGTCTTTGAGGAATCGTCATGCTGTCTTCCACAATGGTGGAACTAATTTACACTCCATCAACAGTGTATAAACGTTTCTTTTTCTCAGCAACTTCAGCAGCATCTGCTATTTTTTGACTTTTTAATGACAGTCATCCTGACTGGTGTGTGATGGCATCTTATTGTGGTTTTGATTTGCATTTCTCTAATGATCAGTGACATTGAGCTTTTTTTTCATGTGATTGTTAGCCACATGTATGTCTCTTTTTGAGAAATGTCTGTTCATGTCCTCTGCCCACTTTTTAATGGGGTGCTTTGGGTTTTGTTTTTAATAAATTTGTTAAAGTTCCTTATAGATGTTGGATATTAGACTTTTGTAAGATGTATAGTCTGCAAAATTTTTCTCCTTTTCTATAGGTTGTCTTTTCACTCTGTTGATAGTTTCTTTTGCTGTGAAGAAGCTCTTTAGTTTAATCAGATCTCATTTGTCAATTTTTGCTTTTGTTGCTATTGCTTTTGGCATCTTCGTCATGAAATCTTTGCCCATTCCTATGTGCACAATGGTATTCCCTAGGTTGTGTTCTAGGGTTTTTATAGTTTTGAGTTTTACATTTAAGTCTTTAATACATCTTGAATTAATTTTTGCATATGGCATAAGGAAGGGATCCAGTGTCAATCTTCTGCATATGGCTAGCCAGTTATCCCAGCACCATTTATTGAATAGAGAGTCCTTTCCCCATTGCATGTTTTTGTCAGGTTTTGTCAGGTATATGTGCGCCTTTATTTCTGGGTTCTCTATTCTGTTCCATAGGCCTATGTGTCTGTTCTTGTACCAGTACTATGCCGTTTTGGTTACTGTAGCCCCATAGTATAAAGGTGGGTATAGTGTTTTGCCTCCAGCTTTGTTCTTTTTGCTTAGGATTGTCTTGGCTAGTTGGGCTCTTTTTTGGTTCCATATGGATTTTAAAATAGTTTGGATTTTTGTTGTTGTTGTTGTTGTTTTTAGTTCTGTGAAGAATGTTATTGGTAGTTTAACAGGAATAGCATTGAATCTAAACTGCCTTGGGCAGTATGGCCATTTTAACAATACTGATTCTTCCTATTCATGAGCGTGGAATGTTTTCCCATTTGTTAGTATCATCTCTGATTTCTTTTAGCAGTGTTTTGTAGTTTACTTTGTAGAGATCTTTCACCTCCCTGGTTAGCTGTATTCCTAGATATTTCATTCTTTTTGTGGCAATTGTGAATGAGATTGTTGGTGGTGTATAGGAATGCTAGTAATTTTTGTACATTGGTTTCTGTATTCTGAGACTTTGCTGAAGTTACCAGTTTAAGGAGCTTTTGGGCCAAGAGTATGGGGTTTTCTTGGTATAGGATCATGTCATCTGCAAAAAGGGATAGTCTGACTTTCTCTCTTCCACCCTTTATTTCTTTTTCTTGCCTGACTGCCCTGGCCAGGACTTCCAATAGTATGTTGAATAGGAGTGGTCTTGTCTTGTGCCAGTTTTCAAGGGGAATGTTTCCAGCTTTTGCCTGTTCAGTATGATGTTGGCAGTGGGTTTGTCATAGATGATTCTTACTACTTTGAGGTATGTTCCTTCAATACCTAGTTGATTGAGAGTTTTTAACACAAAAGTGTGTTGAATTTTACCAAAAGCCTTTTCTGCATCTATTGAAATAATCATGTGGTTTTTGTCTTTAGTTCTGTTTATGTGATTAATCACATTTATTGAATTGCACTGTGTTGAACCAACCTTGCATCTCAAGGATGAAGCCTACTTGATTGTGGTGGATAAGCCTTTCTTTCGCACATCTTTATCTTAATTGCAACGCTGCTTACAGAAGTAAATAAAAGTGAACTTTATGATATCAGAAATAAATTTAAAACTTCTAATGAACAAATAGATGTAGATATTAAATACTAATTAAACAACAACAGCTGTTAATATCAAAGAAAATAGTCAACGAGATATTGTATGCTTCCTGTGCTTCCTGATAGAGGAACACGCCACCACCTGTGAAGCTGTCTTGCTAAAAACCAAAACAAAATCATCTGAAATTTAACATCTTCTAGTTTCACCTATCAATTTACAGGAAATAATGGAGACAGAGGAACATAGTAAACTGCACCAAAACATTGTAGTCTGTGGAACACCTGAGAACATTCTACATGACAAAACCCAGTTTTTTCAGTAAACATATTGCATGGGAGATATATAGTTTAAACAAGACTAAAAGACATCAACCAAGTGTGAGTAATTCACGAAATTTCATTTGGAACCTGAATTCTTTTTCTTTTGCTTTCTTTCTTTTCTTTTTTTAGAAACAAGGTCTTCCTATGTCATCCAAGCTGGAGTGCAGTGGCACAGTCATAGCTCACTGCATCACTTGGCTCAGATGCATCACTTGGCTCAGCTGCATCACTTGAGGAACTTGGCTCAAATGGTCCTCTTTGCCATAGGCTCCTGAGCAGCTAGGACCACAAGCAATTATCACCACACCTGGCTATATTTTTAAAAAATATTTTTTGCAGAGACAGGGTTTCACTGTGTTGCCCAGGCCAATCTTTAACTCCTGGTCTCAAGTGATTCCCCTGCCTCGGCCTCCCACTGTGCCTGGTCTAAGGACTCTGAATTTTTTTAAAAGACTAGAAAAAACTTTTATAAAAGAGTTGGAAATTTGGACAATGGGTATTCGAGGATAGTGGGGAATTATTGTTAGTTTTAGGATAATAAAGGTATTGTGATGATATTAAAAATAAGAAATTCTTAGTGATAAACACTGAAATACTTCCAGTCGAAATGACATGATGTCTGAGATTTGCTTCACAATAATATGACTTAACAGGATTGGCAATGGAGGATAAGAAAAAATATCTGCATTATAAAAGTTTTCACAAAGAGGGTGAGTCTTCTAGCTTCCTTTCTGGTTCCTTTTCATTAAACTAGAACATCAGCCAAATCAGATAACCCTTTATCAAGCATTCATTATTTGACACATACTGTGTTTAGTTCTTTCACTTGTTTTTTAAACTTCTCATCCTATGAAAAATTAGTATCATTCCATTTTACAGGCAAGAAAACTGAGCCTCAGAGAGGTTAAAAGATGTGACCAAAGGAAGTGACTGAAGTTTAAGGCTAGTTTTCAAATCTAGGTCTCCTGGTTCCCTGTCCAGTATTCACTCCACTATATGCATTTGCTTCATATGATTGTATACATATATTTTGTTTCCCTGACTAAAATCTGAGCACACTTTTATTGTAGTGACTGACATATAATAGACATCATAAAGTTGTTATATTTAGCCCAATATGCTTTCTAATAACTATCATACTTAAAATGTGAAAATACAAGTATAGCAGAAGCTGATTTTTAATTAAGGTGACCATATGTTCCACCTTGTCTGACACTATCTCAGTTTTCCCAAGACAGTCTTTATTTAACCTGTTGATCAGGTATGATTATTAATTACAACTTCTTTCACTCCACACAGTATCCTAGTTTGTACTTCACATTACAGTGTTGCTAAATTTAGCATGACGTGAATTAGACTCAGATGTGTAATATGTAATGGGTATAGAAAATCTTTAAAATCTAAAAAATATGTTCCTAAAGCAAAGGTGTATGTTATGACCATCCTGTAATTGTAATACTACATGTAGCCATTTAATAAATGTTGGTTGAAATTAAGTTACTGAATTCCCCACTAGAAAAGAATAAAGCACTCTGATTAGGTTATATTCTCCCCAGAAAAAGATTTTGACTCAGCTGTAATTCAGAAATAACTATTAATAATAGGAATACCAATTCTAATAAAGATTCATAGCAAAAAAAAGGGTCAAACTACCCAGGGATTTGTAAGACAAGCATTATAACTGATATAGAAGAAATCAACATTGGCCTGATACCCAGTGCCAGAAGATAAAGTCATAGCAAGCTTCCCAACAGGAAGAAAAAGTGATCACTGTTTATTTAAATGCATATAGGAAGTGACTGTAGAAGTCTGGGGCAAAATCTGGCAAATTAGGAAAAAACTGCAATCCAAGATTTCCTATAAAATTGCAGCTTTCTGAAACAAAAGGTGGGTTTATTTTCCACAATGTTACTGGCAGCTGTACACTTCAAATGTCTTCCTGTGCCTACAAGGATTGATTTAATCTTATCTAGATAGTGCCTGATCCAACTGCTTTTCTCAGTGTCCTTTACTCTGCCAGACACTGTGAAATTCAAGAAACCTCATCCTAGATCTGATGAAAGGAGATGCAAAGCTTACTATCAGCTGTATACTGTTGGTACTGCATCCCTAATTACTTCACTATCTCTCTGATTAGCGTCATATAACACTAAAGTGAAAGGGAGATAGAAAAAGGCTCTGTCATTTCCCAGAAGGGAAAGGTAAAAGAAAGGATTAGCAGGAGAAATCAAGAATAACCAAACTTTATTAGAGTCTTTATCTTACTGGTGGAGAGAAATTTAGTTCATCCCAATACAAAAGAAAGAAAAGTAAGTTTATCATGTTTATTAGCTGCATATTTTATGGGGTGCCTAGTATATATCAAGAAAATGTTACCATGCCAATAATTTTGGAAAAGTCATTCAACTTTGAAGGCTTCAGTTGTCCCTTGTAAAATAAAAATCCTCTATAAAGCGATCAGTAAGTTGTTTGTTTGTTTTTCAAGACGGAGTCTCACTCTGTCGCCAGTCTGGAGTGCAGTGGTGTGACCTTGGCTCACTGCAACCTCCGCCTCTTGGGTTCAAGTGCTTCTCATGCCTCAGCCTCCCGAGTAGCTGGGATTACAGGCACACACCGCCACTGCACCCAGCTAATTTTTGCATTTTTGGTAGAGACTGGATTTCACCACGTTGGCCAGGATGGTCTCAATCTCCTGACTTCCTGATCTGCCTGCCTTGGCCTCCCAAAGTGCTGAGATTATAAGCGTAAGCCACTGTGTCTGGCCCAATAAGATTTTTTATTCCTTTCAAATGTAATGATTCTATGAAATACTACAATTATTTAATGTGTACTTCTGAAAGATATTATTCATCCAGCAAACATGTACTGAGAACTAATGAGAACACAGCTATATAAGAAATAATGCCTGCCCTCAAAAAGAGACACACAAATACTTAAATCTATCATGGTATGTGCTGTAAGAGTAGTATCTGTAAAAGTCTGTGGAGTACAAAGAGGATATATCTAATTCTTATGAAGAAATATAGAAAGAAAATTTTCAGTTGGGTCTTGACCTGGAAAAAGGAGTTATTTTGACAGAGGAACAAAGATGGATATACATAATTGCTAATTATTTTGTATGACTTGAAGTGTAGGTTTTAAGAGGTTCAGAAGAAGTTACTGGAGATGAGGCTGGAAACTGAGCTTGACCAAATCATGTAGACCCTTGAAGATATGCTAAGGAGTCTGTACTTCATCCTGCAACAGTGCATCTTGGATCTGCATATTAATCACCTTTGTAGAACTTGTTAAAATGCAGATTCTGATCCAGTTAGTTGAGGTGGAGGCTGAGATTCTGCATTTCTCATCAGCTCCAACTGATGCCTGTCCTGCTGGTTGTGGGCCATATTTGAGTAGGGGAAGTGTATTCTACAGCAAGGAAGTGTTATGGTGAGATTGTTTTTTAAGGGAGTCATTCTATTAGGAGATAGGAAGTGAAATGGAAAGAAGCAAGAGGAATATTAGGAAGCAATAATAAAGGTCAAATAGTAAACAATGGTGATGAAGATGGAAAGGAGGGGATATCTTTAAGATGTATTTAAGATGTCAGATGAATAGGACTTGGTGACCAGACAGCTGTGATAGGTGAACAAGAGAGAGGAGCCCACACAGTAATCCAGTAGTCTCAATTTGATTTAAGTGAATAAAATCTTATAAAATAAGCTAAGAGTGCCTCTCAACTGTAGTCCCAGCTACTCAGGAGGTTGAGATGGGAGGATCACTTGAGCCCAGTAGTTCAACTCCAGCCTAGGCAACATAGTGAGACACTGTCTCTTAAAAAAAAAAAAAGAAAAGCTTGTTAAATATACATTGAAAAACATTTCAAGAATAAGAAAAAACTGTAAAAGTGGCCAGGCGTGGTGGCTGGTGGCTCATACCTGTAATCCCAGCACTTTGGCAGGCTGAGGCTGGCGGATCATGAGGTCAAGAGATTGAGACCATCCTGGCCAACATGATGAAACCCCATCTCTACCAAAAAATACAAAAATTGGCTGGGCGTGGTGGTGGATGCCTATAATCCCAGCTACTTGGGAGGCTGAGGCAGAAGAATAGCTTGAACCCGGGAGGCAGAGGTTGCAGTGAGCCAAGATCATGCCACTGCACTTCAGCCTGGGAGACAAGAGTGAAACGCTGTCTCAAAAAAAAAAAAAAAAAAATGTAGAAGTACACTTGTTGAGCTAAAGCATTCATTTGACACTTCTCTTATTTAACCCTGCAATATTCTAGGGTTGATCTTCTGCTGTGTTGTCTAATATGGTAGCACTAGTCATAGCCATACTAACCACATGTGGCTATTGAAATTTAAACATATATTAATTTATTATGTTAATTAAGATTAAGTAACATTAAAGATTCAGTTCCTCAGTTACACTAGTCACATTTTAAGTGCTCATAGCTATATGTGGCTAGTGACTTCAATTTTGCATAGTGTAGATATAAAATATTTCCACCTTGAAAGAAATTTCTATCGAACAGCACTGATAGAGGATCAGTTAGGCATCTGTATTGCAAGGAGTTGACATGGAAAACATCCCATTGTGTTTAATTTTTGTTTACTTCTTTTAAAATGTATATTTTTCTTATTGTAAGACATATTAATTTTTTTAATGTGATGGTCAATGAATTAAGAAATGGAAATATTTGTAAACGATATTGAAGGTGAGAAAATCTTGGCAGGCTCAATAACATCATTTTCCCTTAAGAAAAAACACCATGCTTTGGAAATCCCAGAAGATCACAACACCCCTGAGGGAATGACCTCATTTGTAAGCAAGTCTGGAGAATGATAACAAACACACTCCTCGAATGTAATTAATGGATAAACAAGGCTCAACTTCAAAGCCTTGTGCAACTGCCATGAGTAGTTTAGTCAAGAAGGAAGAACTGAGTATAGAGGTGTAAAGTTGGAATCTACAGGGCTTTCCCCTAAACAACAGTTAGCTTACCAATTGAAAAAGAAAGCTCTACCACTTAGGATACTTCCAGTAATATATAAAGGAAATTCAACACAAAACGACAAATAATAAGATAATTATTGGCTCATGTAACTAGAAAATCTGAATTTCAGCTAAAACTAGGTTCTTGGTAAATGAAAAAAAAAATCAGAATTGATTAATCCATCAGCCTTTACACTTCACATTATATATATTTTTTACATATATGTGTATATTATATATATATATATATATATTATATATTATATGGGGGGAGAGAGAGATCCAGCCTCTGTGACAGATGGGTGACTGAGTGAAAGTCTCTCTCTCTCCATATATATATATATATATAATACACACATATATGTAAAATATATATATAATGTGAAGTG